TGTAAGGGATTTTGGCTATGTTAAGTTTTTCATTCTACTTCAGGTAGCAGTATCTTTCACTTGCATTTGTTTTTTGTTTTGTTTTGTTTTTTTAATCAAATCTTTTAATTAAAGACTTTGGGGATGACTGGAAAATGAAATGCTGGTTTGATACCTTGTGATGCAACTCATGGGCTTTGCATGAAAGTGGGCTTGAAGGTGCTGATGTGGAGCTCTTCCCAGGGGCAGTGTCCAGCTGCAGCTCTGCTAGACAAGTGGAGATCCTGAGGTCCCTTGAGAGATTCCTGTGAGCTTTAGATCTCCGGAATTTACATGCCCTGCCCAGCTGAAATTCCTGACTATCCAAAAGTACTCTGAATGTTTTCCCCCGCCCCTCCTTTTTGGCTCAAAGAAAAATCAGGTTTACTGAACAAGCCAAGTCACATGGAGTTGGCAGGGCACATAGATACCTTCAGAAATAACTCAAGCACTAAAGCGGTGACGTTAACAGCGTTGGGCCTGTACCAGTGATTCATTCTCGTTAATTGAATGCTGAGAGCCTTGGTATGTCTCTCCGTCTCCATGTTTGATTAAAATTCAGCTCCTGGGATCCAGATGATCTTGTCCTAGCGAGCTTGGCACAGCTCAAATGACGTCAGTAAGGCAGTCCTGGTGAAACGTGCAGGAAAGCTCGAAATTAGAGTTTGATTATTTATCTGATTCAGTCTGTCCTCAATCCAGACTTGGTTTGCCTCTGTGTCCTACTTCTCCACCTCCTTTCTCACAAATTTGGAAATCAACTTGCTAATTGTCCTTCTCGAATACCAGCAATAACCAGAGTTTGGAAAGGAGTGAATGTATGAAGGGCTGCAAATGGTTGTACAGCTGCTCCTTGTTATCCGAGCAGACCTTAAATTTTCAGTAATTCTTCTGTACTGCTTTGTAGCAGTAAATAAAGTTGAACGTATTGCTGAAGAATTCCCTTTTCATTCTGGATACTTTAAGTACTCTCCAGTTTTGCCACAAGTCTGGTTGATTTGTTACTGGTTTCTGTTGCTTTAGAAACCTAGGATGGTGAAGCTAGCTCCTATTAGTAACTTATTTAGCTTATCTGTCTGAAAACCTGTCAAAAAGATAAAAGCAGCTGGCTGAGGTTGTTAAAAGAAATGTAATGAGAAGGAACATAGCTGGGAGATGAAAGAAATGTAGTTAGGAGTTGTTGTGCCCATCTCCTTCCAGCATCTGCAGCTTATATGTGCTTTTGTGTACATGAGAAAGAACGACCTAAAGCACAAAACCGTTGTTCTAGAGCAAGGTGAGTTTGGTGTAAGGTCTTTTGGAAAGGCTGGGTCTTGCATAGAAAATAGGACAAATAATGCTTTCTTGAGCTTGGTAAAAACATCAAAGCTTAGAGCAGTCAAATCTCCTCTCATAAATGGATTTGTTGTTCTCCTCTCCTTGCTCTCATGCCCTGTGTCTCAGAAAACGGGGAATTTTGTGTAGTTGTGTACTACTACCCTTTTTTTTCCAGTCTGCCTTTGGAAAAACTGTTATCTCGTGTGCCTGAGCAAGAACAACGGTGCTGTTTGATTGCTTTTTGCATGCTGGTTAGGTCTTTAGTGTTGGGTTTATTTCTGTAATATGCTGCTTATGTCTAAATGCTGCTGTGAAAGCTGTAGCTCATGGATGGGCTTTGATTTCTAACTGAATTTCACCAGCTTGCACCCTCCTCCAGGCTGATACGTTCTGGGGTTCATCCGAGCTCAGCGCTGACGTGGGAGAAGCTGTACAGATAACTTGAACGACAAAAAAGGAGGAGAAATGTTTTTTGAATTTTGAATTTCATCCCTTGCAATACTTATTAGGACCACTTGCTGCAGTGAATAAGCTAAATAAGGACTATAACACAAAATGGCTACGCGAGGATGATGGGCCCACTGGAAAGGGGACTGAACTAGCAAAAGCTTGCCGCAGCTGTATCCAACTTTTCCATGTGCACGTGCTGTTACCTTGAGGCCGGTCCGTGATGGGCATTGCCGTTCCTGGCAGGCAGTCCTCCTGCAGTGCTTCGAGCGTTTAGATTGGGAGGTAGAAGTGTGGGAGTTTTTTTATCCCTTCCCCCAAAAAACTGGAAATCGAGTCCCGGGCAAAAGACCTTCCTTGTATCTGTCCCCGGTGGCTAAAGCTGTGCTGGGGTAGCCGAGGGCCTCGGTCCCTGGTGCCGCTCGGCGGGGTGCAGAGGACGTGGATCGGGGAGTTGCCTCGGACGCGGCCGGGCTGCTGCGTGCAGCTGCGCTTGGGCCGCTTGCCAGGGCACAGTTGGAGTATGAAATCCTCTTTGTGCACAGGCCTCTCCGAGGGCATGAACGTGGATTGCGTCCTGAATACGGGCAGTAGGGTAGTGTGAATTTTGGAACAAATTAGGTGCATGCTTGCAAGGTGGGATTAAAATGCCCAGCCTGGAGCAGAGGCTGGGGAAAGGGCTGTGTTAATGGGCGAGAAACAAAACTTTAATATGAGATGGCCTCTTGGCATGCTTTTATGATGGATGGTTTCTCCGAGAAGGCCACGGCTGCCCTTTGAAGCCCTCGCTGGCAAAGCGGGCTGACCCATAGATCCCGTCCGACCAGCAGTACTGGGAAGAAGGAAAGTGGTGGTTAGCTGCACTGAAGACGCCTCGCACGTCTCGCTTAGGGAAGCTTTCAGCAGCTGACTCATTCGTCCCTTTGATTTAAGGACTGGGAATAATAAAAGTTAGAGGAAAGGAAGTTACAGCAATAGAGCGAATGGAGGTTTGGTGGAAAAAGAAGGAAGGAAGGTGGTGGGGGGCGGCGAACGTGAAAACCTTGTTGCGGATAGGGAGACGGGGAGTCCGCTGGCTCTGTCCCTGCGCTCTTTGACGCGTTGCTAGGTGCTGACGATTTTGAAGAAGGATCTGGCTCTTGCACAACGGCCTTTGTGGGCGTTGCGGGTTTGGGCTGCTCTTTCGACACCGGTGCCTCTCATAACGCTGCGGTTTGCTCACTGCTGAACTATGACTTGATATGCTGAATGTGCTTTTCTAGTAAACGCTCTGCCTCCCTCCCCTCCCCTCCCCACCCCACGTAATCCCAGGCAGATGCTTTGTGCTTTCCTTGACGTCCTTTTACTTGACAGAAGGACAGTTTTGAGGCGCAAGCGCGCTAGTTAACGCCTCCTTTCCAGCGCCGATGGCGGGAGCTGCTTCTTCCCGTGGCTGAGCCTTTTCATGCTCTGGCGCGGGCTCAGGGAGGTTCCTGTCTCGTTTCGTATTCCTCCCAGTGCTGGATGCTGAGTTTCGGCTGTGTTTCTCAGCCCGCCGTCCAGGCGTGGACGGACGGGTGTCCGCCGTGGAAGGCGCAGGTGCGTTCACGGCGCCTTGCGGGCGGGTGCGTGGGAGGAGAGGACGGCAGCGACCGGCCAA